TTGTCGTTGTGGTTGTCGTTGTGGTTGTCGTTGTGGTTGTGGTTGTGGTTGTCGTTGTGGTTGTCGTTGTCGTTGTCGTTGTCGTTGTCGTTGTCGTTGTCGTTGTCGTTGTCGTTGTCGTTGTCGTTGTCGTTGTCGTTGTCGTTGTCGTTGTCGTTGTCGTTGTCGTTGTTGTTGTGTTTCATCCATATTTTGAAATCACAGGATGAACATGTATTGTTTGTGTGGACTGACCATAAGAACTGATAACTTTACCATCAGGCGGTCGTAAAAGTCTGTTCGATTTTTTTACTGCATGTGTTTTAATACAACAACGCGACGTTCGCTTTATCTTAGGCATGACGTAATGATTTAATGTATGTTTGTATGAATTAAGTCTTTTATTTAAAAATCATACTTTTTACGAGCAGCTGATTTGTAACCAATACTTAATTGATTACGGAATTCTACCACAAAAATCAACTGTTGTGCAGCAATTAGGTGTTGTGTGTATTTCACCTCTACACTTACCACGTCAGAAGTTGAATTGGATAAGGTCTGATTGTAACTGTCTTTATTTGTAGACAGATCCATTACAATCACGCCGTAACTATCTTCATAATGCTCGAAATCAAATGGCATCTCACTGTAACGACGATTTAAAACTTGTACCAAATTCATATACGATTCTTTGGCATTGCTGATGGTCGGTACGACATTAGCCTCGTTGATTTTGACCACAAAATGATTGATAGCAGGGAAAATCAAACTGTTATGGTTGTGCTGATGATGTACCACAAATCATTCTTGTAGGTCGAGCACCATTGAAGATATCACTGAATTGCACATAATGAGCACCTATAGCCAAAGGTCTTGCAGCGAAACGATAGAATTTGCATTCTTCAGCTTTCTGAATCATGATATCATTGAATGCCTCGGACAATTGACCATTTGCGTAATAGACTAAATTTTGAACTAAACAAGTCTAGACAAAAATTTCATCACAGCTTGAAGGAGCATCACAAAATTAGTAATATTCCAAAGTTTCGTTACAAAATGTTGTAAAATGCGGAAAATATAGCCTTGCGAAATTTGCAATTTTCAGTCATTTTAGATTACAAACGGAAAATTGACAGCCCCAAACCCTTCGAGGCTGTCAATTTCCCGTTTGTAATCTAAAATGACTGAAAATTGCAAATTTCGTAAGGCTATATTTTCCGCATTTTACAACATTTTGTAACGAAACTTTGGAATATTACTAATTTTGTGATGCTCTTTCAAGCTGTAATGAAATTTTTGTTGAGATAAAAATTTAGTCTATTACGCAAATGGTCCATTGTTGCACGGGTTTCATCATGGGAATGGTTAATTTTAGATTTTTAATTAACACTTTAGAGTCAGTATAATGCTGTGTTGTACCAAATAAAAATTTGGTTTTCTCCAAACGATGAAGCACAATTTTCATATCATAGGATGATGGAACTTAACGTTTATTATGTCCCAATATATCCAAATGATCCAAACATATTACTTCTGCACTCTGACTATATGCTAGCCAACGTTTACGACCACCCACGTTGACAAGACCACCTCCACCGTCATGGAGATTGACACGACTGTCAAAAGAACCAGGGATATCGCTGTAGCCCATGGTAATACCCAACTTATCTTTATAGCCAGTTGGTGTTTGTGTGAGAAGATAATTCACATATTCTAAATCGGATTCATGGGTGGAAGTGGGATTGATAAGATCACCATTCACGTAAACTTCTTTGGTTTTCCAACCAAATCGAAGAGGATATGATATGGATACAACATTTTGATCGTTGGCCAAATCTACACCATCTGCTGCTGCAACAAGTTGTATTGTGGCCGATATTGTGGCATCTTCCGTTTTCATCACGCCATATTCTTGCCGATTATGCGTGAACGTGTAAATTTCTGCCGAAGCGTTTCTCGTGACTCTTCAAACGTAATGTTGTGAGGAAAAGATGGAAACATAGACATGGGACCCATAAAGACCCCATCATGCTTTTCCACACTCTCTTCCTCTACCTCTGTACGAGCACGTTTACTCATCTTGAAGAGTACTTTCACGAATAAATAACACACAATAAGATAAATGAATTTATAACAAACGTGTTTTTTTTTTCAACAAAACATTTGTTTCTTTTAATTTTACATCATTTCATTTACCCACCTACTTTTACTTTTAGTATTTTACCTAATGTTCCCAATAACATGGGTGCCATCATCTCCATAACCATTCCGGCACCAAAAGCCCCCCCCCCCTTTCTGTTTGATACGACGAGGACGAGGAATTAAAAATGTTCTCATATAAATTGGTATGCTTTTTTGCTTTTTTCCACATTTCTTTTTACTGCGGCCCATTGAGAATAGCAGGTAGAATTTTCTGGTTGATACCTTCGCTTGCACGTTGTTGTTTCGGTTGAGGTACTTGTCCCTGTTTGCATGGACGTGAATTAGCGTATGTCGGATTCAAACTAGCTGGCGGTGCGATCTTTTTTAACGCTCTCTCTTCCGTACTTTTTTTCGAACTATCTAATACGTATACATCACTGTCCTTATATCGCGTACCGTGTCCGTACAAATATTTCACGAACATTTCTTTGTCAATCATTGTCAAAAAAATAGTTTTTAGTCTTTAAGCTACGCGTTCCAAATTGAAATAAAACAGTGTGTCGTGCGGGTGTGCTATTTTATTCAGTTTCGTCTTCTTCGGATATATTTAAGTGCAGAAAGAGTATGTCACCGTTATTAGGGGATAAAATTTGTGTCCAACATGCCAAATCAGTTCGAAATGAACAAGTTTGCTTAAAGAGTTGAGATCTTTTTGTATTAAAAACGACGGTAGTTCTCTTTTTTCCCATTATAATGATGTTCAGGTGTACCGCCTTTAACAACTGCTAGCGTACGTTTTTCAAAACATGCGCATTGTGAGTCGTTTTTTGATACCGTTACCGATTTAAATGGACCATTCTTGTACAAACTACCATCACAGTCGTAAAATTCACCAACATTGCTTATTTTACGAGTAACACCAACTTCATTTCCATTAAGCTTTAATTTTCTAGAGCAGTATAATGTACACATAACCCAACCACCGCTAAAATCAGTCCAGTTATAATTCATGTTGAAGTATCGTTTTTTCATCAGTAAACCGCTAGCCCTAAAAATTTGCCTCTCATGTATGACATAGGAATAATCCGTGCGAACAAGTTCTTCATTTTGCACGGTTAGCACTAGTTTCAACATTTTTTTATTCTATCACAGTTTCGATAGTAACAGTACCAGCAGAAAAGGGTATTGCCGTGAAAGTTTTGTCGTATATACCTATATGTAAATCCGTGATTTTACATTTAATTAATCCTCGCGTTAGTTCCGGTGGTCTATAATTACACAATGACGAACTTCCTTGATCCTCTATTACAAAGGGTATGCTTGCTAAAAGTCTTGCCTTAACGTTACCCACAATAGAATGTTCCACCTCGTCACAATAAATGTACATCTCACTTACACCATTACTTATGTCGGGCATATATTTTCCGTGGAATGTGTATAGTGTTCAGGTCGAAGTCCTGACGCTGACAAGATGCACTGCATTGTGGATAGGGTGTGGGTCTACTTGTGTTATTTGCTCTTTAATCGTTTTGACTACGGGATGAAGAACCCATTCTGTTAAACCTAACATGTATTTCCAACACTTGGTCATTTCAATTTCCATTGTGTCCTTATACGTTGCGAAAATATTTTCCGATAATTCATCCGGATATGTTACACAATAAGCATTCGTTGAATTATTGTATATATCTTAAAATTGGATTAAATTTCAATTCATTCAGGGTATTGATTATTTTTTCTAGGGTATAGTGACCGGGGTAGATACATCATATTGGTTTGATATTTCCAAGGTGAATGGTTGTATTTAAAACGTATACCACATTGTTCCTCATGAACATCCTCAATCGTTTGTGGATAACTAATACTTAGGACACCTATGTATTTACGTTTATTTTCAGCATCAATCAATTCGGGAAGCGGCATCGTGAATTTATTGTTAAAATTTTCTTCACCCACATTGTTGCGTGCGTTAATTACAACTTGAATATTCATTCTATCTTTAGTAGTTCTTTGCGATAAAAAATGCCCTGTATTTTTTACCTTTTCCGTCGCATAGTTCGTAAGTTACTGGATCGGTAATAAACACTTTACTTATTTTAAATTTTTCTCCAACCCAACGTTGCAAACTGGATTTTTCAAATACGCTATTTTTAATACGTGATAAACGGATCGTGTCGCCAACACGTAATAGATGAGGTGTGGGACGCGAACCGTTTAATACACTTTTTAATAGTCGAAATTTATTCACAGGTTTTTTCTTCACATAAATATCGTGCGGTGTAAGCACCGAACAAACCTTGATGCGGTGATTCGTTGTAACGTTCTAGAATTAGCGGCAAATAGTGAATGTAGCGAAAACCCAAATCGAGTGTTGTCAGTGTACGTCGAACCATTTGTTTAAATGTTTGAATAAATCGTTCGGCGTGTACTTCTTTTGTTTCTCGATTAAAAGTATGAAATAGTTTGAAACCATATTGTGGTCCAAGTTTACGTTTAATCAATGAAAATTCCTTGCCCTCGTCACTTTGTACTTTTTTTGGCACTCCCCATTCTAATAAAAGTTCCTCAGATTTCTTCGCCACATTCGTTGCCGATTTTGTTTTGAATAACTTGGCGAACGGGAATGAACATCAACACACACAAGCATATAACGATATTGATTATTATAACGTGACAATTCATTTAAATCTGCTAAATCAATACTCCATTGAGCATTACATTTATCTACGAGTATTTTTAAACGTTTATATCTATGCAATTTTCTAGAGTGTAAAGTATGCGCTTCAGTTTGTTACTTATTTAGTTTTTTTCACGTTTTAATAACCGAGAAGCTTTTTTAATAATAAGTTCGTCAGTTCTTTCTTTAGCATCTTTTTTTCTTCGTACCATATTGTTGAATATCACTAAAACAACACACACACACACACACACAATCAATAATTATTTAGAGGCTGCTATAATATTTGCTGTTTCGTAGTCTTCAGGTGTACTTTCCAACAACGTACATACACGAGCATACATATTTACAAGTTGCTCACGAAAATTCTTCACTATATGTATAAAATGACTATCAAACTCGTCACTATATCTACATATAACCTCTTCAGAGTCTAAATCATAATTATGCATATAACGAAAAAGTCTTGCTATTGATGATTTATATGAATTCTTATCCTAAACAAAAAACCAAAAATTCCTTTAATCATTCCACGTAAGCTGTATGGCATTTTTTTGCGGTCGATTATAACGACGAAAATGTGGAATCATTTTAATAGCACTTTTATTTAATTTTTTTTATCCATTTCTACTATAAGAACTTATAATCGAAAGGAAGGGCAGCACACATCTCTTTCGTATACAATTCCACACAACGACGAGTCGTAATACAATAATGAAACATATAACATGTCGATACAGCAAGTGCTTTACTAAAATTACAATCAGTAAATACTACCTCATTGTCCACTGTTGACGCGTTGGGTTTTTTGCGTTTGACTGATTTCTTCTTGGTCTGAGAGTCATCTGCAGGAGGAGCCACGACTGCTTTATGCAACACAGGTGGTGGAGACGTTGTTGAAAGATGGACCACGGTGGGTAATTTGGATTCTTTGTCCACGTCCTGAAGATGCTGAACATCGTTGTGAAATGCGAGCAAAATCTTGCGAATATTCATCCAATCATCTTTCTTGGAAATATGAAAATTCCCAAAACATTCTTTCCAAACGGTTGCACTACTTTCGGTATCATCACCATTGTCATTTTCAATGGGATCAGGATCTGAATCTGAATCAATAGCCTCAACGATTTCCACGTCAGCTTTGGACGTTTTCGATCGAACCAATTTCATACCACTATATTCTGGATCATCACGCAACATCAAACGTGTATCATTACCCTGCCAGTCATGACCACGAGATAATTCGAAATTGTTGACGGTCTTGGGGGGATGCTTTCTTCAAAGCTTGACACAATACCAACACCTCATCTGGACTTGCGGCAAAATTTATTTTACAAAAAAATTTCTTGTCTTCACCGGCTGTGACAAGGCCAGAAGCAAAATGACACTGTTGATCTTACCTCTCGAACCAGCATATTTTTTGTGTTTTATTAGCGTATTTACCCAGTGTATGTTGACACAGAGCATGTCGTTTGCAGTACACCTCTATAGTACTGCTAGACGACGTCATAGTCGATGTTGTTCTATGCTATGTCCAGTTGTTAAAGATAATTTCAAATAAACTACGACCGTATTTATAAACCTTATAAGCATAATAAATTGATATTACGTAGCCACCGCACCGTATAAGGAAATCTTTCGCAATATACAAATGAATAGCCCACTCGACTTCCTGCGCAATTTTCGTAATTTTATCCAAATAAAAATACTTTTTTTTCACATCCGAAAATTCCAAAGAACCAAGAACTTTACATATCAATTGACCAATGGCAAGCACCCACAACCGCGTATGCATGGATTTTAAACACCAATCAGATTCGATTACATAATACTTAACATTTTTGGCATTTCCTGAATAATCAAAACATTTATGTGTGTGCGGGAATATACGTTCCGTAACATATTGCTCTATTAGTTGTTCAAATTTTTTTTCACTATATCTTGTTTAAATTCATGAAATCCGTGCTATTTGTTTGTGCGCAACATCGATCTTTTTATGAGAACACTATACGAGCTCGACAAGCTTTCATACTCAGGTCTTCATCCGATATAGACGTGTCCAATGAATGAAAAAAAATTATTAATTGAAATACACTGCGATCAAGATATACGCCCAAACGTAAAAAATGTTTCATAATGGTTGATTTCACCTCATAAAATGGTCTATGTTTAATGTATACTTTAGTTTAAATACACTATATAATCCATATATTCACGTCGAGTAGTAATCATACACCCATAATGAAAACGCTTTAATTCACCAAGTAACGGGATCTTTGAAACATGTAAATACATTTCGATCACAAACTTACTGCAACGAGTCGATGAGGAAAATATAAAATCATCATCATCAGTACGTTGAAAACTCCAGAAACGTTTACACAAATAAAATTTACCATCAAATAAAATTGTAAATTCTTTATATCTACCCTCATGATACGGTGGTGGAATATACATGAATTTTCGACGACGACGAATACTTCTAGCTATTCCGTCCATAAAATCTATTAAAAACACACTCCGTACATTCGTTTACAAAATAACTAGTATAATTATAGTTACATAAACGTTAGCCGGCGCAGCAGGCGGTATTTGCGGGCACGAGAGAATGGGAAGCTTGAAATACCGCCTGCCCAAAAACTACACATTTTGAGTTCTCCCCGGCAGCTGGGTGCCGGAGCATTCTGATTGGTCAGAATGTTGATTTTCAAATTTTTATTGACAGGAGTAAAGAATTAGAGTAATTAGTGCTAATTTTAGAAGTTACTGTTGCCGTAATTATAATATAAACTATTGTCATTTTCGTAATTGATACCGATATATCGAGTGATGGCATACTTAACCAAAAAATAACTAATGTATTAATTGAGAATTAAGCGTTGAATTCTTTAATCTTTATCTGGAATCGGAAATCGCTTCGTCTTGAAGAATGAACAACGAATGTCAATCCAACATTTGTTGCTTGATAGATGTGATACCGTGATAAAAGTGCAGATTTGAAGATACAGGCTCGTAAATGACACTCTAAGTAGTGTTTTTGATAGCGATTGGAACAAGACTATTACAAAGTTGCGTCCGAAGGGGCCGAAGTTATGTTCGGCGAAAGGTATGGCTAGTCTATATTTTTGTTCAGACAATTGCGTAATTTGATAATACACGAACTCGCTTGACTTTCAAAGCTCATAAATCGTTATAATGTTGACATCGACTAAAACTATCGCTATGAATGAGGACATATTGTTACACTGAATCGAACGTGGTATTTTTGTCTTCATAGCATTGAATGAACCGAAGATATGAAACGTCAAAGCCGTATATTTGCACTGGTGCAAATATGTGAGTTTGACAAATAATTAAAATAAATACATTAAGATGGGCTGGACCATGCTGTGGGCGGAACTCAGAATGTGTAGTTTTTGGGCAGGCGGTATTTCTAGCTTCTACCGCCTGCTACGCAGGCTACATAAACGTGATATAAACTGTTCCGTTGACGTGTAAACGTACACGCCCACAACGCTAAGTATATGCTTTCGTACGTCATCTACAGAACGAAATTCACAACATACATTTAGAAAACATTTCAAAACCCAATTATAATTACCACATTCTCTATAGTCAACTATTAAAACGTATTATTTCTCTGTCTTAAAACTACTTTAAAAAAAACAGAATCCCGATTGTTACGCGTGTTCATAAAAAAACAAAAGTTTACTAGTGTATTATGACAAATTAATACCCAAATATTGCCTAATCTCTATCAATTTTCCATGACATAACGTCGTAGGTTTTCTATGTTCATTCGGTGTCACGGTGAGCAATTTGAACGTGTTCAAAAAGGTTGCCATCGCCGTCCTTCTTGATCATGCGATACGGCAGAGAGAAAAACGCATACCAAATATTCCAATCAACAAAATATGCCTTAAATTTATGCAACATGTAATGATCAATTTTTCTTTCCCGAAAGTAAATGTATTCTTTTTTCACAGTAAATTGACAAAAATGCATAAATGTCTCCACAAAAGTCTCAATTTCATCTATCCTCAATCTTCGGTACTCGCCACTCATCCACGGAATTTCTTCAAAAAAATTCCTCGAAACGAAATCAACCATATACGTATAATCCGAATAAATGTATATTCTAAATTTCTCTTGCTCGTGAGACAAGATAAACATAAAACTATCGTCTTCAAAATGATCCGTTAACACTTCAAATAAAAATTCAGCTTTACCGAAACAACCATACGACAATACATTAGCCATTATAAAATCCTACGCATAACTTAAGTATCATTACTTATTGAACACGTCATCACTAATCAACATGGGTAAACAAAAAGGCGGAAATTTCAAACGTAAAAAATATCAACGATCTAAACAAGATGGAGGTTTCTTGGGCGCCATACCCATGTTTTTGGGTAATATGTTTAAACCACCCCAGAAACGACGTCGAGCACCCACCAGACAACGACAATACCCCCCACGGCAATATTACCCACCACCTCAATATTATACACACCCTCCCATAACAAGAACAAGAATCAGAAAAAAAATACAGGGTGGGACTCAGCGGGGTGGGATCGTAAAAGGAGAATGGGGTCCACACAATTTAGGAGGTCCAGTACAAATTACTCCAAGAATGATTCAAAGAAGACAAAAAAGTGGGTTCCTAACAGATGCTATCAACACGGGCGTTCTAGATCATTACGGAGAACATGATACCACAAGAAAAACCCTTGGGTTAAAAAAAACAACCCCAAAAGGTGATTACATACATAAAAGAGTTAAAATTTCTTCTGGTAAAAAAAATACAAACTCTCTCTTTCAGGTGGGGGTTTTCACAAAACTAGGAACTAACATATCTATTGGTATGGCACGGTTAATGGGTAAAAGCAACCCCGAATCAGAAAGACGTTGTACTCAACTCGTTCGAATCTTTTTTCACATTTTTTCACCACAAAATTCACCCTGTTCTCACAACCGCATTCAACTTTACGACATTGCCAAACACCCACGCTTTTGCGATCCCAAGATTTGCATATACCACACGCACAATAGATTGTCGAATTATACGTAGCTTGTTTTGCCATCTCTTGGGCTAAAATGGGAATTTATCAAGTTCCTTAGCAATAACGTGATAACAATTCGGAATCGTAATACCTCTGTGTTCGAGTTTACAATACGAAATAAAAAATTCGCTTAGGTGTAAAAACCCTAAAATGATCCACACCTACGTTGCTTGCCAGCCAAACATAATATTTTGATCCACTCATAGTCATTTACCCTATAAGGTAATCGACTTGCTCATTCACAAGTCGCACACCAAATAAGGTAAATCATCTAGCAAACTGCATTAATAAAAAAACTCAAAAAAGAAGAAAACATTTAATCATGTCTGAGTGTAAAATGAAAGCACCAACGCACACAATTGTATGCATAGACAATTGTAATAAATGTTTTGCTAGTGAAACCAGTCGATTACTATACCACACAATATTGGGTAAATTGAACAAACGTGATGAGAAAAAAAAACGTACCGAATATAAACCCGGCTTTATGAAATTTAAAATCAATAACACCTCCACAGCAGCAACATCATCTTTTAAAAGAAAGAACACTGAATCACCTCTACTCTTCGAGAATGTCGACAACAACAAACCAACCGCCGATGTCATCGCCCCCTCACCATCCAAAAAACTGAGACGACAATCAAATTCGTACCTGCCAAAAAACCCACAACATCAACCGACGAAGACAGAAAAGAACATTTCTACTGTTACAACAAAATTCAAGTGCAAGAGAAAAAATGCTGCAATGAATGCGGGGCGGTTACACGCAAAGACGCAAGTTCAGAACCATGGACATTACTATAATGATGAACTAAAAGCATTGGACCGTCATCTCGATCTAGCACTAAATAGTCACGAAGCATGTAGAGCATTTCAAATATTAAAATAAAAAATGGAAGCAGATTATAGGAGAAAAAAAAGCAAGATACAACAGAATGTTCTACGACACAAGAGACAATTATGTAGCACCAGAAATAATACGTGAAAGATACAAACAAATATTTAATTCTATAGAATACAGAACAGCTGTAAACTCTCTAATAGACAAATAATAAAAATGTTCAAAAACGTTCATGTTTAGTTTTATCACACGGTGCGTCTTCCCAAGTACCACAAATATCACAGAAGGGTCTTTGCACACACATAGCCGCACGACAACACCTCGTCTCCATAATCTTACAAATCGCGCCATTACGAGCACTACATTTCTCACATTCGCCGAGTCTTGTTGGATCTGTAAACTGATCGCTTACCCCTTCGCGGCAAACATTTCACTTCATGATATTGATGATGTTGATGCAAATCACAAGATACACCCGTAGTCGAATTACATATCTTACAATCATTTGTGCTTACAACATAAACTACATCCGCATGCTTTTTTCCCTCATCTAAATAGCTATTTACAGTTTTTTCATTTATACCACAACTATAACAAAATTCACCTAAATGTTATTCCAAATACATCGTTTTTCTTTCATCCTCTCGTCGCTTAAATGCTTTGAAACCCTCAAGATTCGACTTGGTAGAAGTCGGCATCATACCAAAACTACTTTCATCTTGTACAGCCAACCTTGAACATTCATGCACATCGTCAATCTCACCACCCAAATGACTCATTGCTTAACAAATATCGGTGATTCGTCACACAAAATATAAGCGAAAATTCGATATTAAAATTGCCGCCAATAGTAACAAACAACAGAATAAAGTGTGCTCCTTAGAGAGGACTCGAACCTCCATACCATAAGTACGTCTATAGCTTAAACGACACCCCGTCCAATAAGATTTTTATGGCATGTAGTAAAAGGCGAAACGTCGAAACGAAACGACCGAAACGAAACGGCCGAAACCATCGAAACAACCGAAACGAAACGACCGAAACGAAACGACCGAAACGAAACGACCGAAACGAAACCGCCGAAACGAAACGGCAGAAAATATAAATTACAGGAAAATTGAAAAATGCGGATACGGACGGACGGACTGGGAAGAGGCGGATGGACGGGGGGGGAACAGGCGGATGGACGGGGGGACAGGCGAATGGACGGGGGGCGGCTTCATTTGACACGAAACTCAATTTTAAAATCAAATCCGCGTTTTGTTGAAAGGGATATATTAGGATATATTATAAAAGACTATTATTAATCGTAATAAATTGTCCGCG